TTATACAAATCCTATGAGTGGTGCTACAAAAAATAACACATTTGGGAAGCAAAACAAATGCTTAAGTTGGCAGCTTCTTCACGTGATTCTGGTAGTGCTGTTAACCTTGCTGGGAGATATGACTGTTACCTTACTCAAATACTTTCTACTAATGTTCACCCACATTTATTCAGAGTTTGGATATCTGCCATAGACTGTAGTTCTCTGTAATACCACTAAACATAATATTTATTAATTATTAAATAAATTTGTTTCCTATATCCATAAAAAAAAGAAATAGGAGCATTAACACTGCATTCGATAGAGGTCAACTCAAGGTCACTGCCAGCGAAGGGGATGCAGGCATCCCTCCGGGAAGAGCCGCTGGCTCTAGCCGCAGGGCACAGCTGAACGTCAGGCCACAAACACAGGGAAGCACATTCCAAGAGCAGAGACACAGCCCAGAAGCCGAGCTCAGGCAGGGAAGGGCCATTCAGCTGACTGGAGAAGGTCGCAGCCCGGGGGTGGGGAGGCTGGGGAGACTCAGGGCCTTGGAAACCGGCAAGAAGGCTGCGCTTGAGCCCAGAAGAAACTCAGGGGCACCTGACCACCTCGCTGCCCACCCGGCAGGGCCACTGGGCAGCCCTTCTCCCCAAGCAGCCCACCTGCAAGAAGGACGAGCACACGCTGGACCAGCATCTCCACTCTCCACAGAATCACCTCGAGGTCCTGGGGGCTCCGAGGCTGCGGGAAAGCCCGACACGCTTCCGCGGCACTTAGGGGGAAACAGAGGTGTTAAAGGTGAGTATCTGCTTCTCTGTGTGAGAACACGTCGTAACACTCGTGAATGAACCGTTCCCCTGCTGGGCCAACTCACTCCACAGACATCCGAGGACACAGCCTAGGAAACGGCAGGTCTCCTGTTTTCGTTCAGAGCGTCATTTTGTTGCCAACAAACGTGACATTTGCTCTCTCTTCTTGTCTGAGGCCGTCCTCTCGAAATGCAAAGGTACATGATCAGAGTGTGAGAGAGAAAGGAGGAAGCCAGGTGGGGATTCTTACGTTTTCCACGTGGGTACAGGAACCCACCTTTACGTAAGGAAGACTCTTATCTTTAAACAGACTCCTGGAGTGCCATAGTGTGTGTGTGTGTGTATGCGTGCGCGCAAGTCTCTGTGTTCGCATGCGTGCATAGGTGTACTTGTGTGTATACACCTGTGTGTGTTGGTCTTTATGGAGCCAGCTCCGGTAATGCGGCAGAAAAGCCTCCCGACCAACTTTGTAATAAGCTGCCCTGGCTCAGAAGCGCTGAATTCTTCTTCAGACTTAGGTCCTAACGCCACTGAGGTAATGGGCTCAGCAGCTCTTAGCTTTAACCCTTATCTTTCTAACCCCCCAGACCCTGGTCTCTCAGCCTCTGAGATGAGGAACGTGGTCCAGAAGAGCAGCTCACAAACTGTCGCATCTTAAGCCACCCGTGGCTTTTGTTCCTCCCTCAGATGAGTTTCTATATTCCTTACAAAACTCAAAACCATCCCAAACATCAGACACAACTGAACATATAAATAACATTATCTGGGAAGCACTTCAAAAAGAAAAATATATATATGTATTTTTTTAACTGTGGGCCACATCGACTAATTAAGGCTACAGCTGCCCAAGGACATTCCCTGAAAATAAATATCCTTGACAAGCCCTGGAGATTGATTTTAAAAAAAAACAAAGGCCCGTTGGCTTCTCAACGGGCCAGACCCTTCGACATTATGCTGAGTCACCCCGTCCTGGGCTCTCTTGCTGGGGCGGACACAGCAGCATCACTGGTCTGAGAAAACATCACCACGCTGGAGAAGGCACCAGGATGCTGGGACAACCTGCAGCATGGCTTCCGGGGACCACAGCAAAGTTTCATTCTTTTATATGCAATTCAATATTTCTACAGCATGTTGTTCTAAATTTACTCTCCTCAGAGGAAGAATGAAACTTTCTAAAAAATTGACTTTTCGTTCTGCTGTGGTGTTGACATGACCACAGAACAACCTTGCTTAGTTCAACACACCTGAGGGCTTAGCAGGGCCACCTCCCTCGGCAAACGTGGATTTTCCTTCATTGGATTATTGTGTCTTGGTTGTCAGAGTCCAGCCAGTCCTTAAAGAATGCAATTCTCGTGTGTTAATTCGGAAACTTCAGCGTGGTGGAGCTGTGTGTACCTATCAGGACACAAGCAAGCTCAGTGACTAAATGCACGTATGGACAGGGCGCTGGGATGCTTGAGGTGATGAAAACTGGTTTCTTTACAGTTACGGCAGTTAACTGTGGATGAAGAGAGTAGGAAGCCATTTGGCACTTTTGAAGGTCAGGTGGAATCATACAAAATCCTCTAGGGAAGCCAGATACAAGAGCAAAGGATTACTCCAAACAACACACAACATAAAGTTAATTTTTCAACTATAAAAAAGTATAGCTGAATGGCAAAATAACTGGGGGTGGGAAATAGTTATTAGCAACTTGTTTTAGCCCCAGAGAAAGACGAGCTTACGTGTAATTTTTGTTTCTGGCCAGAAGAAAACCATAATGATGTGTAGGGCCATTTATTAATCCCCATCAGGTAATGTTATATATAGACTTTGAGTAAATTGTGGGATTTTAATGACGGCATTTTAGTTGTGCCCCAAGCGTTGTGGGCCTGGAAGGAAGGGTCAGATCTGACGGTCCCTGTGCGGCCGCCACTGGCCACTGCCGGCCTTGCTTAGCAGAGCTGCCGCAGGCCCTGGTCTCTCAGCCTCTGAGATGAGGAACGTGGTCCAGAAGGAGGCTCACAAACCCTCGCATATTAAGGACCGCCTGACGGCCCATCGCAGGCTGTGACGGGGCAGGTACGAGGCAGCTTGGGATCCTGCGTTTCCAACCAGCTCCCAGGTGAGGCTGCAGGGCCACCACCTCACACGGGGGCAGAGGGCCTCTGGGGGTGGGGTGCACGTCCCCCACCCCTCTCCGGGGACTTGCTGCAAAGGCTTCAGACACAAGGAGCCAGGTACTGCCTTCTGTTTCTGACCCCCGTTGCCCCTGCAGCTCACTGGCCTTAGTGCTATGATAGATTTAGGGACTGAGGGAGAGCCTAAAAGCAGCACTCACTTCCACAGGGGGCTGGGCTCTAATGGGACGTAACACAGGTGGTGACACTCACTGCTGAATGAGGCCCGACCAGAAGCGGGGAGATGACATAGGGCCAGAGGGTTCCTTGGGACAAAAACAGTGGATTCAGGTTGGGGACGACCAAGCTTCTCTTCTCTGTATAACTGCAGGCACTGAAGCAGAGGCAGGAGAAATGAATTCTGCCCAAATTTGCTCTAGACCTCTGCCATCTGGGAACTTGTAGTAAATCTTTAGGATATTAATGGACCTTTCTACTTTTTTAGGAGTTTTGTTGTTGTTGTTCTTATTAATTTTAAGCTAATGTTTTTGCCTAGACGTCTGTGGTTGTTGTTTTATCCCTAATATGCTTCATGTCTTAAACCCAAATTATCGTGCATATTAAATGCATAGCTTACGTTTATTTTACTGTAGAATCCTTACCATACCCCCAAAGGTATCACTGTTATCCCTGTTTTATACACAAATAAAAGGAGGTTCCGAAAGTTTATAGGATTTGCCTTGATTCAGAAAGTTAGTGAACTGTAGAACCAAAACTCACATCCAAGTCAGGCTAGTCTGACCCTAAACCCACAACAGGGGGATTTTCTGTTTTAGACTTTTTGTATCTTCCTCATTCAAGAAGGCCATGATCAAAGAATAGTGAAAACAGGAGAGAGTGGAAGCAAGTAATCACTAAAGTAGAATGAAAGCGGGCACCAAGCCTTGCGAATTTAAAAACTGGGGTGGTGACTACAACCAGTCAGCTCACAGCCCACTAGTTTCCAGTCTTGGGGTCACGGTGTAAATCCACTCCGTGGAGAACTGGAAACAGCAGGTGAAAGCCAGGACTGGTGAAGAGCAGGGCTTGCCAGGACCAGCTCCAGCTCAAATGAAAATTCAGGGCCAAGTGTCAAGTCTAACACAGTTTAGCATCAGAAACAATGAGGCTCTGAAAGCCATCATTCAAATTCCAAGGCACCAATAGTTCTTTGTGCCAACAGACACATGCTTCAACATCCAAGGAGATCCTTCCAGGTTATTAAAAAGGAGTGGATTCAAGGTGCAGCCGTGTGGCAACAGGACTAACCAAGAATAAGTCAGGCTACCTGGCAGATGAGTGAGGGTTCACTTTCAGTCTCCCTGTGGGACTCAGAGACCACGGACCACCAGAACCGTACTGTCACACAGAGAGGATGGGCTGGGACACAGCTGCACACGCCCTCATCCTAAGGCAGCAGATGACCCCCGGAGCATGACAGCCAACAGCGCTGGGCCTTCTGAGAGCAGGGTTTCCCTGACCTACTATTCGGGGTGGGCGGCCAGTGCTTGGACATAGATCAACCACAGAGTCAGGTTGAATCTAAGGAGGGAAGAAGCCCGGCCCTGTCCAGGGGGCAGTTACCCTTGACAGCACAGTTTTCTGTGTAATGTGAATGGCCTCAGGTTTTTATCTGCATATCAAATAGCAGAACCCTCGGCTGCTAGAGCAGGGGAACAGAAAAACTGGTTACATACCTAGTCTTGGGGCACGTGAATAGAATAAGATGTTTTTACTTTTGAAAAAATAATTTACTTTGGAGAAATGTAGAATAAATTCAAATCGTATTTGAATGCCAAATAACGAGGCAAATAGTGACAAGAGACTGGGCATGAACCATGCCCTGGGGAAGCCAGCTTCAGAGTGTAAGGAAGGTTGAGCTCAAGCAGGACTGCTTACCCTGGTTCAGTGCAATTCCTGCCTGATTCTGTTTTATAGTTACTGCAGGGGGAAATGAAGCAAATTCAGTGTTTTATTACCTTGGATGGATCAGTGAGACCTTTGGCCAGTATCCAGCCAATGCAATCAATCCCTTCTGGTATTTCTCAAAATGTGATCATGGTTTGAGGACGTCAGGAAAGTCAACCAGCTCTTCCTTGGTCTTCTCATCTTTTCTTGATCTGCTATTCTCTCCAGGGGTTGCATTAATAAAAATTTCAAAAATGTGCTGAAACAAAGTGCTCAAGGAGTGTGTCTTCTGAGAGCTGTTGAGGAGAAGCTCTTGACTCACGAGAGCTAGTCTACTTAGCACGCTCTGGACTGCTTCTCTGAGTTGTTGGTGAGTCACGTCCTGAATCAAAGAAGTGCTGAAAAGCAAAGCTTTACTCAAATCACCTCTGTTGTCACTTTTCAACCCACTGGAGGCCTTTCCAACTGCTGTTACGGTTTTCAAAAGGTCATTTGGATGTGGAGCCAATGTCAGCAACAGACTAAGAACATCCTTGTTGTCCTTCCCTAACTTATGCCAAAGCGCTTCTAAGGTGAGGTCGATCACCTTTCTCAAGTAAGTCCCTAGTTCCATGCTCTTTCGTGATGGTATTTCATGCAAAAACAGGATCACTTCACGAGTTCTTTCCCCTTTTGTATCTTGAGGCAAATTATGAGTGGAAATTGGATTAGAATATAAAAAGTCTTTGTGATTGATGGTGTTATTTATAGGAACTAAGTAATCCAGGATCTCTTCCCATAAGTTGACAGAATCCACAGAAAATATTTGGGTCCCATTATTAAATGCTGCCACGAGACATTCCATGTCTCCCAAATTGATTTTCACAGAAGTTAAAAATTCAGCTATTTCTTCCCTAATATCATAAATATCTTTGGACTGGTTCACATATGTGAATATGCTAGATGACATATTGAAAATATCAGAGTCTTGGGAAACAGCAGGTTTGACTCCAATCATCCCAAAGGCCAAGTCAAGAAATGGCGTCAACAAGTCATCTATATTTTCAAATATTAAATGATCTGCTTTTTACAAAGTAATCATTTCATTGGCAACATCTCGAACACTTTGTTGCAAAATGGAATAAAGGGTGTCCAAGAATTTCATGGTGTCATTGGTGTCCAAGAATATCATGGTGTCATTGGCTGTGAAGACAAAAGGCATTTCAAACATGGCAGCCACCTCTCTTGAAGTTTTCTCGGCCAGCTTAAGAAGGTCCACGGTGGAGGTGACGGAGGTGGTGAGACCTCTCATTTCGGCTCCATCGTCCACCAGCATGGTCAAGAGGGGGTCCAGGGCACGACTCTCTCCACCCACTCTTGCCCTTGATATAACACCAAGTAAGCACTTGGTAATTTCTAACGTCGCTCTGTTTCTTGGTGGGGGGGTGGGGGGGAGGGATGAACTATTTATAAAGGAAAGAAAATCGGTTAGATTAGTGAGTATAACTTCTTGGAGGGCAGGGTACAGGGCACGTAAGTCCTTAATAAGAGAGTTTAAAAGAGTGTCCATGAGACGTGCTATCTCTATTGACGTTTCTCTCACGAGGTGAACAGCAGACCTGAGATCTTGATTGAGTTTGAAAAGGTCCTCAGAACTGTTCATATGGGAAAGCAAGTGATTCACCACTGTAAGAAACTCCAGATTATTTTCAGTCTCATTTTTATTGAGGTTTCCCTTAGAAGAGTGTGGAATAAATCTCCCATTAACTGCAGTACTCGAGGATTATCAAAATAAAATTCTCCACCGTCTAACATAAATGAGCTTTTGATTAGGTGATACACAGCTTCCTTTAAAGATGAAAAAATGTTCACCAATCTGTCCTCTTTCATGGAGATAAGAAAATGATCCCGTTTCAAATTTTCTAGAATTTTATCCTTTGGGACAAAACTGTAAATATATATTTTTTAAATTTCACGGTTAGTAATGAAAAGATTGAAAACATACACAATTGACCCTTGAACAAACCGAAGGCTATGGGAACTGACTTTCCTTTGCAGCCAGCCTCCGTGTCTGTGGTTCCACATCCACAGATTCACCCAACTGTGGATCGGGTAGTATTGTAGTACCTATTTAATGAAAAAGCCACTTATAACTGGGCCCATGTGGTTGTTCAAGGGTGAACTGTAGTGATTTTTTTTGCTTTACAGTAGCATCATGGGAGGATAATACTGACTGAAATACTGAAATGCTAAAATACATCCCAGATGAAAATTAATGTTTTGTTGCCAAATAATGAAAAGATTGGATGGATTTCATGTATAAATCCATTGCAATGCCTCAAACCTAACAACTTAAAAAGCCATGCACTTTGCTTTTAGAAAGGAAAGGAACGTGAAATGACCATACAATGATTCTCAGTGTAACAGGTAACGTCCTTCTGAATGTTCCAAGACCTAGCAAGCCACTCAGCGTGGTAGGGGCTCTGTGACTTGTCAACTCGGTTGGGCCGAGCCCCAGATTCAAGCCCCAGAGCCCCTTTCTTGTGTGTTTCTGGTCTGGTGGGCTTCACGGGTGATTTGCTCATGAGAGTGCACAACAGCCACTTTGTAGCATCATAAACACTAACCTAGGTGCTGCTGGAGGGAATTCATCAGATGTGACTGAAGACCCCAGACAGCCAGCTTTAAGTCAGGGAGAAGGGATGCTGCCCCGGGGAAGCCTGACCTCACCAGTCGCAAGGTCTTCGAGAGGGTTAGGACCTCCTGGACCCAGCGAGCCCACCCTCATGCACAGCTGGATACCTCCTTCCCCATCACCCCAACCCTGCCCCCCAATGGCCCCCTGTGGACGGGAACCTGCAGCTCCTGCCTGTGGGATTCCAGCTTGTTTCCTAACAGCTTGCCCTGCTGACTCTGGACTCCCTCAGCCAGCCCCAAAACTGCGGAAGCCAATTCAATCCCTGTATGAAGTCTTTGCTCTGTTTCTGCTTCTGAGGTTGAGACCTGACTGATACGGACATCACAGAATAAGGTAGAATCTCCCTCCAGCCTTTTCACTGGCAAGCTTCAAAAGGAATGAAAAAGTAATATATGAAAAAACATAATGTGACTCTGTGTTTTAAAATTTTGGAGTTTTAGCAATTCCAAATATAAACATCAGTAGATTTATTGGAATGAAAATACTTAAGCCCTTCATTTGTGATTAGACAGTTAATGCATTAATATGACCATCACATATATCCATATACATATATAATAACAATTTTTCAGTTCCATATAAAATAGAATTTTATAATTATTTTCATAATCAAAAACTGTAATAAAGCATAATAAGTGATTAATTCCCAGGGGCTAGGCTTATATACATATATTTACTAGTTAGATGACAATCATCAAAGTTATTTTACCTTGATTTTTATAAAACGTTCATTAAGACAAAATTCACTTCAAAGATCATTCAAAGGTGTTGGTACAAGTGCTGTCATTGACACTATAAACTCCAGGAAATAAACTGGATTGTAACATGCAACTACAAGCACTATACAAAGCAAAAGTAAACTCACCTCATCTCTGCAATGACATCTTTGTGGAAGTCTTTCAGCAGAAGAGATATTTTGTCCCCAGAATTTTCCTTTAGTAAAAAGGGGAAGAATGTTTTCAAAAGCTGTTCCAAGAAATCCACTATGCTTCTTGGAGGGAGAATGATTCTCTCACCATTTTCTGACTGTGTATGGTTCAAGGCAAGGTTAATGAAATTCATTATTTGAAGGTTGGTATCACTTAAATTCAAGGCTGCTTCTTGAGCATTCTCAGCTAAGTTGTTGATTGAATTAATTAGGAAGCTTTCAAAAAGCAGCTGAACAACTGAGAAATCAATTAGCTGTTCTTGGTTTAGCAGACGAAGAAGTAGGGCAACATCAAAATTATCTTCTCTAGAAACATTTTAGAGATTACCCAAAATGGTAGCAATATCTTTAGCCAACAAAGCTATATCATCAGTTGAACTCTCGTTAGCTGTAAGAAGAAATAATGTTTGTATCATTTTGGAGTAATCTTCATTTGCATATTTATGAAACCAGTTTTTTATGATCAATAAAAAATCTTCAATGATTTCTAATGTCTTCAAGGATGATGAATCCAGGCTTTCGGAAAAATGGGCAAGTGGCAAAGTTAGGTTTTGAAGAGCCACTGAATTAGTAATTTGTATTTCTTTGTTAATTTCAGAAACAGGGATCTGATACTAAAGTTATGGGTTAGATATTTCATGATTTGTTCAAACTCAAGCCATAGGTCTTCAAAGTTGTAAGTTGTTTCACTTTTTTTAATAAAACGTGATAGTGCTTCTAAACTACCACCATTTCATTCAGAAGTGTCATGAATAGAGAGACTACAGAATTAGCACTATTTTCTAGGCTCTCATCCCTAGAAAGCAAGTTTATTATCCTTTCCAAATGTAAGGAAATATTTCTAACAGATGATTCTGTTCCTTCATCAATATTAAGGATCTTGTTTAAACTAGCTAGTTTATCAAGGAGGTTTTCATCTGATGTGGCTTTTGTAAAGTTGCCTTTTTTTTAAATTTTTCTATGATTTGCAAAGCAATCTGCTTTTATGGAACAGCTGGGACAAAGTTCAGAGATGCTGCTATTGTCTAATTTCCAGAAAATGGGACAAATGGTAACACCTTATGACAAAATTCTTGCACAGTTTTCAAAAGCAAAGTTTTAACATGGAAGACTTTGGACAGCTCTAGAAGAATGGAATTCCAATCCATTAATTCATGAATTACACAGGCTACTTTCCTAGTTATTTCCACCTGTGAGCTTTCATTCCAACATTGTGAGTCTTCACCTGGGGAAGGTGGAGGTGGTCAAGGATACTGGCCACTTTGCTGTAAAAGGAAGGAGAGGTGAGCTTGTGGGCATCACAGGCTCCTGACCTTGGATTCTGCTGAAATCCAGAAGTTGTGTGATTCCAGCACCAAAACACAGGAAGACAAGTTAAAGCCTCTGAAAGGATGCCTGGTTGATCTGATATTAATTCAATTGTGTCCAAAAGAGTTTTAATCACAATAGTGAAGTCTTCCTTGGTGACGTCTGAAAGGCTTATGCCATGCAGGAGCATGAAGTTACAGACGTCCCTGAGGGCCTCCATGATGTTTTTGTCACCCACGCCCTGCAGGAGCCTCATGGCACGAGGGAGCACATAGTACACGTCGATGGAGGCATCGGCGTCCTCTTTAGGAAGCAGGCGTGAGAACCTCAGTAGGTGGTTAACACTCCAAGAACGTGAGCTGTCGACAAGTTTTTCCATCAAGTCAACAAAGAAGCTGACCCCCAAACTGCCAGTACCTAACCTACTGACATTCTTAAAGAAATCTCACACTGGTCAGAATGGCCACCATCAAAAAGTCTACAAACAATACATGCTGGAAAGGGTGTGGAGAAAAGGGAATCCTCTTGCACTGTTGGTGGGAATGTAAATTGATACAGCCACTATGGAGAACAGTATGGAGGTTCCTTAAAAATCTAAAAACAGAACCACCATAAGACCCAGCAATCCCACTACTGGGCATATACCCTGAGAAAACCATAGTTCAAATAGAGTCATGTACCACAATGTTCATTGCAGCTCTATTTACAATGGCCAGGACATGGAAACTACCTAAGTGTCCATCAACAGATGAATGGATAAAGAAGATGTGGCACATATATACAATGGAATATTACTCAGCCATAAAAAGGAACGAAACTGAGTTATTTTTAGTGAGGCGGATGGACCTAGAGTCTGTCATACAGAGTGAAGTAAGTCAGAAAGAGAAAAACAAATACTGTATGCTAACACATGTATATGGAATCTAAAAAAAAAATAAATGGTCATGAAGAACCTAGGGGCAAGATGGGAATAAAGACACAGACCTACTAGAGAATGGACTGGAGGATACGGGGAAGGGGAAGGGGAAGCTGGGACAAAGTGAGAGAGTGACATGGACATATATACACTACCAAATGTAAAATAAATAGCTAGTGGGAAGGAGCCACATAGCACAGGGAGACCAGCTCGGTACTTTGTGACCACCTAGAGGGGTGGGATAGGGAGGGTGGGAGGGAGGGAGACGCAAGAGGGAAGAGATATGGGTACATATGTAAATGTATAACTGATTGACTTTTTTATAAAGCAGAAACTAACACACCATTGTAAAGCAATTATACTCCAATAAAGACGTTTTGTTAAAAAAAAAAGAAAAGATCCATCAGGCTTTCACTTATCTGTTCCAGCTTGTCTACTAGCAGGTGTATGTCTGTTTTCTTGACCGTGCACAGGAGAGAAGTTACCTTCTTTAAAACTTGAATAGTACCTGGCTCTTGTGGAATATCGTGATAAACTGAGGACATCAGGGCGTTGAATGCCTCTCTCATGAATTCAATATTGAGACCACAGCTTTCATTAATCCATGAGAAATTATCTGGGGTGAATTTTGGAGATCATGAGATAAATTGAAGGCAAGGTAACTAGCTAACTGATAAAATGAACAGCCTAAGCTGTGTATATTATTTTCCTTTGGACTGGTAGCAAATATGTTTAATTTTTTTTTCAGTTTTAGAAGAGGTGTTCTTTTCCAGGATGTTAGGGGAAATATCTTTCACAAGTTTTTGAATTTCCTTCCCCAGAGCTACTAAATGCAGCCAAATACTTTGAAACTGACAAGGCATTTCATCTGACATTTCTATGGGTTTTAGAATTAATTCAGTAAAATGTTTCCAGTTGGATTGAGGCGCAGAATCAACGTCCCTTGTTAAGTTGTTGATAATCATCCTTACTTGGTTTGTGGAATCATTTAAAAGAGTTAATAAAATCTCAGGTTTTGGTACCTTTTCTTTTTCAAAGACTGCATTAAGTATAACGTTTAGAAAGTCAGCCACATTTTTTAAGTAAACGTTCACACAATTTATTTTTGACATATTCCATGAACAATAAGGTCCCATCATTCTATTCAACATCCAAATAACAAGCTTCAAAGTAGAGCTCATTTTGTTTTCCACATCTGGAAATATTCCCTGGCAGCTTTGGGGAATTTTCACATCACTTTCCAGTGCAGACAAAATCTGAGTGAGACCAACACGAAGAGGAGTGAAAACATTCGTGTCCAGCTGAAATATTTGAGCCAGGCGTCCACAGATTTGGGCCCACATTTGCAGCCATGAAATGGTACAGTGAACGGCCGTAAATTCATGGAACTCACTGCCGTTTGCTGAGAGGTTTGAAAGGATTTGTGCCCACGGGAGAATAGATGAAGACCCCTCATCTATTGAAAAATTCATGGAAGAAACGCTTTTATTATCCAGAACAAAGCATTCACTACCTAGCAGGGCTTCTGCTGAGCCATTGATGAGTTGGCTCACATACTGAAATAAAGAAAAAGTAGCGTGGATCACTTCCACTGCGGGACCCTCTGTAGACAACAGGGATTGGACTTGAAGCTCCAAAAAGTTAAAAATTGACAGCAACTGTTGACAGTAAGATACTTCCGAAATTCCCCTAAGAAACCCTGTTGTCTCATATAAAAATGCAAATGCTGGGGCTTCCCTGGTGGCACAGTGGTTGAGAGTCTGCCTGCCAATGCAGGGGACACAGGTTCGAGCCCTGGTCTGGGAGGATCCCACATGCTGCGGAGCAACTGGGCCCGTGAGCCACAACTACTGAGCCTGCGCATCTGGAGCCTGTGCTCCGCAACGAGAGACCGCAACAGTGAGAGGCCCGCGCACCGCGATGAAGAGTGGCCCCCACTCGCCACAACTGGAGAAAGCCCTCACACAGAAACGAAGACCCAAACACAGCCAAAAATTAATTAATTTAAAAAAAACTCAAACACCCACATACATATATTCAACACCTGAAATCCGTTCCAACATCAGGCAAAATTGAGATTAGCTGCTTAATAACAAGTTCCCTATCCCCTTCTCCCGTTTCCTTCATAAAAAAAAAAAAAAGAAAAAAATGCAAATGCTTCACTGATGTTTTGGAAATAAGTTGCTTTATGATATCCAAAATGTGTTTTGAGATTTGTGTAAGGAAAGACAGCAAAGACCCTCTCCTCTGAATGCTCAAGAATTTATAAATATATTGGTAAAATGAAGAGTAAATCTAGAGAAGTAAAGCTGAATCTTTGACCTGGAAGACACTTAGGTAGACATGAATCAAAATTTTATCAATGTCTTGTTTTTGAGGTTCAGAAAGGGCTGAGAAAAGGTCGGATGTATTCCTCATAGCATAGACTGTGCCTACAGCTTCTGTGACTTGTTCCTGCCTCAGAAATCCTAATTCATAGAGATTATTTATTATCACTTCACTTAAATGAACAAAATCCATTTTCCTGGCTGGCGACTGAGGCCAATCTGAATGGAACAACTGGGAAAAGTTAAAGCTTTTACTATGAATCCTCTCATTTTATGGATCAGAAAAATTTACAAGTGTAGACAAGATTCCCAGTTTAGCTCTTTCTCCTTTTGAAGCGCCATGCGTCCACAATGCCAGGATCTTGGGATTCATTCCAAAAAGTATTAATTCCATAAATCTCAAGATATTTCTTGATTCCTTCCTTATCCAGAGACTTTCAAGAGCTTATACCTTTTCAATCATTTCTTTGCCAAATTCCAGAAGTTTCTGAGTATCAATACCAGGTGTGTCTCTCTCTAAACTCGCTAAATGATTTATCCACAAATGACTTGTATTTAGAATCGTCTCAGGGAGAGGTGAGAGGTTATGGAATTTGGGAATACTGGATGAGCCGAAAGGATTGGGCAATAATAATTTCTCCCAAAATCCCGTAAGAGATAAAAGGAAGTTCTTTGCTCATCCTCAAGGGTCTGCAACTTCTTTTCCATCATTAGAAGTGCCTTTGTGAGATGTAAGACCCTACAATATTAACAGAACTGATGCAGTATCAGAAAAAATAAATAAATTCAAGACAAATTCAACTTATCAAATTTTTAGATAATACTCAGATTTGTTTATAGTAAAACATAAATGAAACATTTACTAGGCAATATATTTTCCCAACAGGGATTCATGTGAACATTTGAAAATGTTTTAGAAATCTACAATGCAGTTGCATACATTTAGCTTAAAATCTGCTTCTTGCACCAAAAACAATGCATTTTAGGTTACTTTACTCAGTGAGTTTATATGCATGATCATTAAAGATAAGTTTGCTGTTTATGCCAGAGGCATCTTAGGATTCAATTCCTTATTACATCTCAGAATGTCTTGGTGACAGAGGTTGTCCAAATTGCAAGACGGTTTGAAACTGCCCCTGTATGATCTAAGGACAAGTGTTAGGATTTCTCATTCTAGAAAGCAACTGCAGTGATCTTTAAACAATGCTGTACTTCCCACTATCAGAAACTCATCATTTCAGATGGCGTACTTCCCCTCTGGGTGTTTATTTTTTAAATACAAAGCGTTCTCAAAGGAGCAGCTCGACAATTAAGACAAACCCACACTTCTAATAGGAGCCCTCACTTGAAGAACTGACTGACTCAGGAGCTACAAGTCCACTTCTGAAATCCTTGGGGCCCTGTGTGTTTCAGACTTTAGAAAGGGAGCTTGTGCAAGTATCACACATGCATTCATGGCCCCTCCACCAGGGGCACCGGGGCAGCCCTGTATCAACTCACTGACACTTCTGCAGGGACACCTCCGAACAGGTTCAGTGTGAGGGGCAACAGACCCCTTAACACTTACGTCTGCAGAATGAGTTGCGATGCCGATCTTGAGAAAAGCTTCGATTTTCAGACTTCTGCAGATTTCAGAATTGTGGATACAGGATTTTGACCTGTATTGTCTCTTAATGCCCTAAAGGGTGAATTACTTTCTAAACTTCCTTAACTCTGTAATTCTGTTGTGTAACACAGTCTGGCATAGAATACACAGAGGATGGGTCAAGTGCAAGGAATTGTTTTCCTCTCTCACAACTGAGATCTGAAAGCAGGAAAAATACAGGCTTAATTTACTTTATTGTCATTTGTAGAACAGACAGCGGCTAATCTGAACCATGGAACATCAAAAACATTTCCTGGGAAAAAATTTGATCAGGAAAGAGAAAGCTACACTCTGAAGACTTCAATATGAACCTTACTCAAATCCAGCTCTGCATAGAAATACATGCACAACTACTATGTGAGTAATCGTGTATTGGTAGAGCAGATTGCAAATGATCTTGTTTTTCATTAGGATCTGAGAGGTCATGGGGTAGCAATAGTAGGATGAGTAAGGGCCGAAGCAGAACTAGTACTCCTGGTAGTGATATTGCCACACACGTTATATCACTTTACAATCTTTAAAGCACGTTCACCACTATACTCTTAGTTCATGCCTATAACAGCCCTTTGAGGTACACATCATCATTTCTATTCCATGTGAAAAGAAACATTTCAGGATTTTTTTTAATTAGCAAATTCAAACTGCTATTGTATGGCAGGAACTGGAATATGGGCCGGGTTTTCTCATCTCAAGCTCAGCTTTCTTAATATTAACTCTGTACTTATTGTCCATTCTTATTCATTCATTCATTAAGTCAACATCTAGTTACCTAGCCCCTATCATGAAAGATGCTGTGCCAGCTGCTATGAGTCTACAAAGATAAAATTAAACACGTCCTTGGAGCATATACAGACTAGTTTCATTGCCATCTTTCTGTGCTATTAAATAGCTGTGACTTTCGGGAAAGTGAGGTATTATAAATCCAACACGATCAAGGGACTGATTCTCCAGAGAGTCCATCACCTTCTCTTCCTCCTGTACCCATTAATAGCTGAGCTTAAAGTCTCCCCAGGAGTGACAAATCCCGGGTCTAGACAGATGCTGTGGGGTGCTGCTTAAACTTTGGTTTGCACCAAAACCACCTGTAGAATTTTTCGTATCTACAGAAAACTGGGTACTACACACAAGCAAGATTTAGCATGTCTGGGGCGAAGTTCAAGCATTTGTATTTTTAGCAAATTTCACAGATAAATTTGATCCATTCCCAAGTTTGAGAACTACTGCTCTAAGGCAAAGCTTCTGTCCCATCACATCCCAACACACCCCACAGACAATAAAGTATGCTCTTAAACTATACACAATATCCATAATTATACATAAAAATGTCCATTCCAACACATGTTCTGAAATAGCCAAGCGGTATATAATCTGGCAGATTTAGCTCCAAAGATCAATTCTCTCTCAAAAGTCTCCAGAACTACCAGGCTCTTAAATCATCGATCCCGAGTCTAAACTCTAAGCAACTAGATAAGACTATTTTTCAAAGAAGGATTTTATTTTGGGAGTATTTTATAATAAATTATGCTCTCAAGGGGACATCTTATTACCATAATCTGTTTCCTTTCAAAATCCACGGAAACATGAGTCCTACATTGTATGACACAAATATTTATTGAGAACCAAAGCCATATGGAGTGCTTTATTGAGAGCTACATCAGGATCTCACATTTTAAAGCAAGTGCCTCCAATAACTAGGTTTTGTTTATCTTCAAATAATAGTTAAGTCAAGACCTAGAAGTTGAATTCTGAAAACTCACCTAGATATGGAAGCTGCTGGAGTCTTGATCAAGTTATTCAAAAATGCGAAATAATTATCACCAATGATTTTCCAATCCATGTTTTCTTCATGACAAGGAGATTCCTCAGAGAAAACTAAATAGGAAGGCATTTCATATATTGATTTCGAGTTGGGTATAAAAGTCAAGTCTAGTAAAGTGAGACATGCTACAGTGTTTCAGTTAACATGGTTGAAAATATAACGAGAGAGGATTAGAAGTCCTTCTGATTTGACTTCCGCTTCTGGCCAAGATGAAGTGCCACTGGCCGCCAAGGAGTGTAGGACAGAGACCCATGAACAAACGGTAGAAAATGAACAAGGTGAGGCCTTCCCCCCCGTGACTCAGAAGGCAGAGCTGGAGTCTGGTAGGCGTCCTGAGTTGAAGGGAGGGGGTTTAGAGTCCGAAAGACAGGAGGGGTTCACGGGACAGAGTAGCTGCCCAGGGAGTCATCTGCTGTCTGCTGAGGACGAATGCTCCATGCATGAGAAGGAGCTCCCTGAGGCCAGGGAAAGAACCACCCAAAATTAAAGATAAGGGGCCAGTGATCACGCAGGGCCAGGAACAAACTTTGTTCCTGTTACCCAGACTAGAGCAATCCACGATTTGTTAGATATTGAGGAGAAGATGCCAAAAAGGTCTTGACTCAGTAACGGGGAATATTTACAACCTCTCTGAGCACTGCTCCAGCCCCGCCTAACAAATCTTAAAAGCAAGACCCTAAAGGATCAAACTATTTCAAGCAATGTTTTCGATAACGTAGGAAAACAACATAACAATCACAAAACAAGGCTAAATTCGTAACATTTGACATTCAATCAAAAATTGTCAGGCGTGCACAAAAGCAGGAAAATGTGACCCATAACTAGGAAACAAATTAATCAATCAGAGCTTACCCAGAACTGACAGAATTCAGGTAGAATTACTAGAAAAGAGCGTTAATCACATAAAACAGTTTATACTATTTAGTTTATACTGCATGGTTTTGTTTGTTTTTGTTATAAATTAATTTATTGATTTATTTCTATTTTTGGCTGCATTGGGTCTTCGTTGCTGCATGTGGGCTTCTCTCTAGTTGTGGCGAGTGGGGGTTACTCTTCGTTGTGGTGCACAGGCTTCTCATTGCAGCGGCTTCTGTTGTTGCAGAGCACGGGCTCTAGGCATGCAGGCCTCAGTAGTTGTGCCTCAATGGCTCTAGAGTGCTGGTTCAGTAGTTGTGGCTCATGGGCTTAGCTGCTCTGCGGCATGTGGGATCTTTCTGGACCAGGGCTCAAACCTGTGTCCCCTGCCTTGGCAGGCAGATCCTCAACCACTGCGCCACCAGGGAAGTCCTATACTCTATAGTTTAAATAACCCAATAAAAATGCAAAACTTGTCAGGTCAGATAAAACAAGAACCAATTATATGTTGCATGTACAAAATGTACTTGAAATAAAAGACATAAATAACTTAAAAGTAAAAAGACGTAAAAGACATACCACACTACATTAATCAAAAGGAAGCTTTCAGATGAAGTAGATTCCAGATGATAATATCATTATTATTTCATAATCATAAAAGTATCAATTAATTGAGAAGACATAACAATTCTAAATCTTTACGCACATTATAACAGAGTTTTAAAACACATGACACAGGGACTTCCCTGGTGGTCCCGTGGTTAAGAATCTGCCTTCCAGTGAAGGGGACGCAGGTTTGACCCCTGGTCAAAGAACTAAGATCCCACATGCTGTGGGCCGAGTAAGCCCGTGCGTCACAACTCTGAAGCCCAGGCGCCGCAACGAAGGATCCTGCATGCTGCAACGAAGATCCGAACACAGCCAAATAAATAAATATTTTAAAAAAAAAAACCCACAACACAAAAACTGATGAAATACAGGATAAATAGACAAATCCACAATTATAGCTGGAGATTTCAATATCTCTCTCCAAATAATTGATAGAACAGGAAGATAAATATCAGTAAGGATACAGATTTCTTGATCTAACTGATGTTTGAAGAATGTCCCACCCAACAACAATATCGTACACATTCTTCTCAAAAGCAATGGCACATTTTCCAAGGAGACCATATTCTAGGCTATAAAAAAGTCTCAATAAATTTAATAAGATCAAAGTCATACAAAGGATGTTCACTGACTAATTCAATTAGAAATCAATACCTAAATATAACTGGAAAATCACAAATATTTGGGAACTAAACAGCTCATAGATCAAAAAAGAAATCAAAAGGTAAATTAAAAAGTACTTCAAAATTAGATGAAAATGAAAGTACAATATTCCAATATTTGTGAGATGCCACTAAAAAAAACAGTACTTAGGGAGAAATTAAGTACCTATATGGGAAATGAATAAGGGTCTCAGAGACTTCAACTTCCAAGTCAACTTCCAAGTTAAGAAACTAGAAATGCAGAGTCAGTTAAACCCACAGTAAGTAGAAGAAAGAAAATAATAAAAGTGGAAACTAAGGAAATAAGAAAAAGAAAAACATTAGGGGAAAATGAACAAAACCAAAGGCTACTTCTTTGAGATCAATAGCACTGACAAGCCTCTCTGCAGAGTGATCACGAAAAAAGAAAGGCACACATCACTGATATAATGTATGAGAGAGGTAAAGATTATACAGATTCTGTAATGTTAAGAGAATAACATGGGGGTCAGGGATGCCAACCCTCCACGCAGTAAAAAATCCTCTTGTAACATACGGTCAGCCCTCCAAATCATATCCCCCGTACCTGCGGTTCTGCATCTGTAGATTCAACCAACAAGAGATGGCACGAGTACTGTAGTATTTACTACTGACAAACATCCACACACAAGTGGACCAGCGCAGGGCAAACCCATGTGGTTCAAGGGTCAGCTGTATTATGAGATACGGATGACACTAAATTAGACAATTCAGATGAAAGAGAAAAATTCCTTGAAAGACACAATCTACCGAAGCTCATTTAAGAAGAAATAGATAATCTGCATAGCCCTATATCCTTTAAATAAATTGAATTTGTAGTTAAAAATCTTCCCAAAAAGAAAACTAAAGGCCCAGATGGCTTCACTAGTGAATTCTACCAAATGTTTGAGGGAGAAACAATACCAATTCAACACAAACTCTTCTAAAAAAACTGAAAAGGAGAAAGTACTCTTCAACTCATGAGGCCAGGATTACCCTGATAACAAAATAAGACAAAGATATTAAAAGAAAGGAAAACTACAGTCTAATATCCCTCATAGAACAAATGTAAAATGTTAAACAAAATTTTAGCAAGTTGAATCCAGTAACATATGAAAAAGATATATATCTTACCAACTGGGATTTATCCCAGTTATGCAAGGTTGTTTTAACATTATATATATATATATATATGTATATATATTCATATATACATATATATATATATATATACTTCACTAGCATTTCAATAGCATAGAAATATTAAAATTTCTACAGTGAAAACTACAAGTTGTTAAGAGGAAATAAAGAACACTTAAATAACTGGAGAGATATACTATGTTCATGAGTCAGAAGACTCATTACTACCAGAAAAAAAGTCACTCTCCCTAAATTTATCTATAGATTCAACTCAGTCCTGGTTAAAATTCCAGCAGAATTTTGAGACATTGACAAGCAGATTCTAAAATTCATATGAAAATGCAAATGACCTAGAATAGCTAAAAAATTTTTTTTAGAAGAAGAAAGTTGGAAGGCTTACACTACTTGACTTTAGGACTTACCATAAAACTATAATAATCAAGATCAGATGATACTGGTGTAAAGATCAACAAAGAGATCACTGGGACAGAGTAAACAGTGCAGAAAATGACCCACATATTTGCACAACTTATTTAACAGAAGTACAAAGGTAATCAGTGGAGAAAGGATTATCTTCACAACAAATTTTTCTGGAGCAATTAGATCTCCATATGCAAAAGATAAAATAATAAAATCTGATATGCACCTACATCATAGACAAAAATTAACTCAGAACGCATCACAGATCTACTTTAAAACCTAAAGCTATTAACCTTCTAGAAGAAAACACAGGTGAAAATCTTTGTGACCTCAAGAGTTAGCAAAGATTTCTCAGCTATATTACCAAAACCATGATCCACTGGAAAAAAAAAAAGATATATAGACCTTGATCAAAATTAAATCTTTTGCTCCTGAATGACGCTGTTGAGAAAGATGGAAAGACAAGCTTGAGACCAGGAGAAAATATTCGCAAAGCACGTATCTGATAAAGGGCTTCTATCTTGCTTTACCAGGAACTTTTAAACTCAATGATAAAGAAACACACAGCCCAATTTTTAAAGTGGGGGAAAGATGTGAATACACAATTCGTGACTAAAGATACACAGACGATATATAAGCACATGAAAAGATACATGTTCAAATCACTACTCATAAATGCAAATGAAATCCATTACGAGATACCACACCTATTAGAATGGCTAAAATTTTCTAAACCGACCATACCAAGTGGAGGAATCAGAACCCTCTGGCAGAAGGGGCTCTGGTCGAAACTGTAAAATGGTACAACTTTGAAAAACAGTTTGTCAGTTTCTTAAAAAGTTACACATGCATGTACCATATAATCTAGCCATTTTACTTCTAGAGAAAAGAAAGCATATTTCCATTAAAAATTGTATATGAATGTTCCTCGCAGGTTTATTTGCTATAGCCCAAAACAGGAAACATCCCAAACTGTGAGTCGTGTGAATGAGTAAACAATCTGTGATACGTCCACACAACAGAATAGTACTCAGCAGTCAAGAGGAGTGAGCATACTGCCGCATGAATGGAGCTGGAACTAATTAATTACACTAAGTAAAAGATGTCATAGAACATTCTATGGAATTCCATTTATATAAATTTCTAGAAAAGGAAAAAACTAACTGATGATGACCGAGGGCAAATCAGTGGTTACCTGGGGACCGGAGCAGGGGCTGGATTGACTGGAGAGGGGATTACAGGGGAGCAAGAGGACACTTTGGGGACAGGTGGACATGTTCCCTGTCTCAACTGTAATGACAGCTTCACAGATACACACATCAGAACCTAACAAATCGTACACTTTAAACACAGGTGATTTGTTGCATGAATCAATTATATTTCAATAAAGGTGATTTTTTTAAAGAAAGAAATCCTTCTAATTTAAGACAAGTAATTTAACCTCTCCAGCACCTATTTCAGAGGCAAAATTACATAAAACTTGCAATTTTTATACTTCGCTGAGTTCCTGCTGCAATAGACTGACTTATGTATATATAATTTTATAAGTGTTTAAGGGGGGAAAAGGTGGTAACAATATTGAAAATTAGCACAGATGTGTGTGATTAATATCACATATTTTTAAAGCTAATGCTACCAGAAAACCAAGCCACTTGGAATAACTTTTTTAAACAAAAAAAGAAACAAAATCCACCACAGTGAATTCCATGGCCATTCCTTGTGGTGCATTATTATTCTGGAATCATTTCTGTGGGGAGAAAAAGGAACTAGTGTCTATGGAAACTGCCTAAAAGTACTGCACTAGGAATTTCACGTACATTAGCTTACTTAATAAGAACCCAGTACAGTAGGCCGTATAATTTCTATGTCACCAAGGAGAAAACTGATTGCAATGGGAGGCCAGTAACCCACTCAGTAAAATCTGCTTCAGAAGCAGGGTCTGCTCCCAGCTCCATCTGCCTGCAAAACTCACTGCAGTCCATGATTTAAATACTTAGAGCAGAATCCAGTTATTAGAAAACGTAATTCGTGTTTCTGTTATATATAAATAACAAATTCTTATCATGTGCAGTTGGTTTTGTTTTCTACAGGAGGAAGGGAAAATACAGACTGTATAACCGAGAGTTGAATGCTGATCAACAGGCTAGTCATGCATGTAACCCAGAGCTCCTCACACTTCCACGTGCTCATAGACCATCTGGGTGTTGTCCTAAACTTCACGCTCTGACTCCATAGGTCTGAGGTGGGGCCAAGGTTCTGTATTTCTAGCAGGCTCCCAGATGGTGCTGATGCCACTGGTTCAGGGACCACACTTTGAGTAGCAAGGATGTAAGTGAATCAGGTCTCTGTACTCATTCAACACAGGCAGTAAAGGGCCCAGAGCCCACGAATTTCCCTCGGTTATTATTCATCCCCCCTAGTGGTAACTACCCATGTCTCCACGTGATAATCAAAATTGCTTTACACTATACTCCCTACCCAAAATCTTAAAATATAAGTAAGTTTAATATAGAAAGATCTGTGAGTCTAACGTAAAACACAACGTATCAAAATGTGTGGAATATATACGGAGCTTTGCATACAGAAAAATGTATAGCCCTGAAAGTATATGTTAGAAAAGAAGAAAATCTGAAAATCAAGAATCTAGAAAAAGAACATCAAACTAAGTTTACTAGAAGGAAGGAAATAAAGACTAAAAGGGAAATTAGTGAAATAGAAAATAAATGTACAGTAGAAAACAACAAAACTCAGTTCTTTGTCAAGAGGAGTCAGTCATATTTCTGCAATGGAGCGTGTTTGGGCAGACTTAAGCCCTTAGCAAGGATCCGTCCAAAGGGAAGAGGGTGGTCTAGCTCACAGGCTCCACAGTGAGCCTTCCCGGATTTGACACTTAGCAGTTTTGTGACCTACTCCAAGAATACTATTGCCTTGAGCTTCAGTATTCTCATCTAAAAATGAAGTTGTACCCAACTTACAGGTTGCCACAAGGATTGAATAAATCAGTTCACTCAATACACAACAAATGTGTGTGATTATCAATACCATTGGGACTTCTGAACCTGGGCCTCTTGCTGATGATGAATGTAACTGTTTGTAGCCTGTATTTCTGGAAATGGTAAAACTGGGCAGAAATAAGTGATTAAAAAAAGGAGAGCAAGGTGGTAAAGCAGAAAGTTAACATGTAGGATAAGCACCCAACTCAAGAGAACACAGCCAACGCACTGGAGAAGCCAACACAGACCCAGCGCTGCTGTACAGGGCGCAGAGCCTGGCAGTGTAACCACAGCAAATGCAGGGACCCCTCTCGTGGGTGGTGAGTCTGATACCGAGAACCAGAGAGAGAGGGTCTCTGGCAGCCCCTAAGACAAGTTGGAGGAGGAATGAAGGAAGGAGTGTTAGGTGGACATGACCACAGAAAAGGAACAGGAAATCCCATCCCCAGGCCCAAACCCCCTAGAGGTCCAAGACACAGGTGTTCCAAGGAGATGCTATGACCCCATGGGACAGAGCCCATGGAACACATGGGAAACCAGGGCGTGTAATTCCCAAGGCAGATGGAAACACACAACCAGCTCTAGACCCGGAAGAGGTCAACTCAGAGATGCAGGGATCGCCCTGCCAGCATCTTCTCAAAAAAAAGTCTCTTGGGGGACAGGATGATTCCCTACGAGTCATGCAGTTGCAAGTTATGAGATTCATATTTTAGGGGATTTGGGGGTTTGAGGCTGGTAAGGAGAGAGTGGAGCACACTCCACGTGGGTCTCCCCCATGGCAGGGCAGACGCGCTAAGGGAGAGGGTCCCACGCACAGCACATCTGGACTTTTGGAGGTTGGGCCATGATGAGTCTGTACAGGTAAGTGTTTATCGACCAAACCAGGACAGTTTAGAGAGAGAAAGCAGTGACTGTGCCGGGACCAGCGCCCGTCTAGTTATGGCTGACGAGAGTAAATGCGGAAACCTCACGGCACCGTCCCGGTGAGCCACGCTTAGTCCCCCTCACTCACTAGGATCGATTAGCTCTTAGGAAGCCCTGTTGCCACAGTGAACGGGGAAAACACCCTCATTCCTGACTTACCAAGAAGATTGTTCTGGAAACTTTCCTGCTTATTCACATATCGAGCCACCTGGCAAGTCTTCCGTATGAACCCCATGAAGTCTTTCCAGGGGTATGTCTGTTTGAGGAACGGTTGGGCTTTCTCAAGTGTATGAAATACCCTGCAATCAAAAACAAAACTGAATAATGGTTTTCCAGAAGACAATATTACAAACTCATCTAAATACAAATATATACAAACGCCTGGCAGTCCAGTTATATAAGGAAATTAGAATCTTTGAAATAGTTTTCTTAATACATATTTGTTTATTTATGAACTTCCCCCACCCTGATTTGCAAAATGAAGGAAAATCATTTATGATGCCTGGGTGCTCTCTGCTTTGTGGCTGTCTGGAGCTGTATGTGGGGCCTGTTCACCTGAACAAAGACTCAAGTCCAGGACCAGGACCAGGTGGTCCCAGCCGTACGGGGCACAGTTCAAAGGGACCCCCAGCTGCGTAAGGACGGGTGGAGGCTGCATCACAGATGCCCACAGCTTCATTGCTTTATGTACCACAAGCAACGTTCTCTCTGCCTTTTAAGGGTCATCATTTGCAAGAGGTCATTACTGGGCCCACAAACATGCCACTTTCAACACGGGAAGACACCCCGGGCTGTCAGGACCTGGGGACACGGCTGTTGGAAGTGAGCCTGCCCTGCACTCAGCTTCTGTGGCTGCCGGGAGCCAGGGTCTCCCCCCACGACTGTACGGACTGGCTTTTCTCTGCGGCATAAGTACCTGTTGGATGGAACACTTCCGAACAACTGGAAACCGAGAGGACTCCAACCGCTTCCTTCTCTACTCGAGAGACAGATCAACATAGTATATTCTATTTCTTATGAAAAAATAGAGTTGTTTACTATTTTTTCTGTTTTAAAAAGATTAACCTCTTTGGTACTGTTGGAAAGCATATACAAAATGTGAAATAGTGAACAGTCCCTCTGAAGTTTAACTGTTGGCTTAAATCTCAAAGGAAATCTCGGGCCCTCGTTTAGTTCAAGGTGCTTGTTTATCACGTCACCCAGGATGCCAAAGAGTGGTTCTCGAGGGAGCTCTGCTTCTCCAGGAAATTTGCCTTGTTTTTATTTTATCAAATGTGAATTGTATGTGTGATGAATTTCCATTCTCCTCGGATGCTGGGACGTTCACAGTCAAATATGTCAAATAGGAATGTATTTTTCTTAACTCAAAACTCATTTCATATTGTAGACATTAATTTTCCAGTTTCTCCACTCTTGATGGAGATATTTTATGTGTTCTTACATTTTTATATTTTATGTGCTCCCATAGATGCGCCCTGAACAGCTTTCACGTCACCACGAGCTCACCACCCAGACAAAACGCATGGCCAGGGCTTCCACTGACCGTGCTGCTGCTGGCCAGCTCAGTGCTGTCCCTTGATCATTTAGAACCAGATAAATTGAGTGCCTCCAAGTGGACAGTCAGACCTGTATTTTTTTTTTTAAGGACGTTTATCCGTTATTTGAGAGTTTGACCTTTACCAGTGAGACATATTAGGAAAAAAGGTAAAGAGGTGTGCTCTTTGAGAAAGTATGTGATGGGAAATGCAGTGCCCAGTAAAGTGAATGGGGGGGTGGGGGGGTGGTCACAGGCCTCTACCTCACACCCCTCCCCGGCCTCCCCCAAAGCAGAAAGCTGTGAACCAGCCAGGGTCCCGCAGTTTCTGAGGCCACTGGCTGTGTGAGCACGCTGGAACTCCGCACACACCAGTGTCCCCGGGAAGGCAGTTTCCCTTTATGCTACAGTCACTGTTCAAGCAAAGGGCTTATCGAAACCAGAGTGAAGAGGCAGGCCCTTCAGCACCCAGCGCCCAGGGGTACCGAATCGCTGCACCAAACACCCAAGGAGGGCGTCAAAGGAGCCCGATGGAAATCGCACATGCCAAAAATAGATTATGGTTCTTGCAATTGCCAGGTGATGTTTAAGCCCAAGAGGGACTTTGTGATGACTGCATATAGGATAGATAAACAACAGGGTCCTGCTGTAGAGCACAGGGAACTATATTCAATATCCTGTGATAAACCATAACGGAAAAGATTGGTTAAACCCTCCGTTACTCACCCGCACCACCACTGACTCAAGTTACTTCCATCTTTGTGTTCTGAATTCCTATTTACATTTGGATCCATTTCTGGATTTCTCTGTTCTGTCCCCTCCTCTCTCTACCTCAGGGTCATACCATGAACCATAATCATGGCAAATATTTTTAAATCTCACCTGGAACTTTATCCTAACCCTCACCTCTTCTACCCACTACTTGGGATATATGTTTCTGTTTTGGGGTAAAGAGAGTGTTTAATCCATATTCAGTACCTGAAGGAATCCCCAAATCAGAGGATTCGAGCGATATGACCTGTCAAGAACCTGGTTATCTGTGTACGTGGGGAACGTGGGACTTTGGTCTGTGAAGTCCCAAAGCTGTGGGATATTTTCCTGTGAGTGGAAGTTTTGTTTCCCAAGGAGGCATACTGAACTGCTTCCCGTTACATTTCATTTATTTATTTCTGCCCTCAGATTACTGCACCTGCAGAAACTGCAGTGCGTCCTTTGGGAGCTGCCCCCGTGGCCGGCCCTGACGAGACTGCTCCAGCTCGACGGGGCTCTCAGGAGTGTGGTGGCCCAGAATCTACACCTTGTCCGAGGCAAACTAGCTCCAGGGTTATTTGTCCCCAACTCAAATCACGGCGAACATGGGAGCGGCTGGAAGGCAGGCTCGAAGCCGCCCGTCAGGTTTGGAGGTGAGGTATGGGCGTGCATACATATTCGTGCTTGTCAATGGTGCCCAGGGATATTTCAAACCCAGCACATCCTGGCTGAACGAGTAGCGTGTCATAGTGGGGACCACATCCTGCTGTTCCCGTCAGCCGGCCTGGGGCCTGGAGTCAGCCGGCCTGGGGCCTGGACAGGCTCTTTTCTGCCGTCCCATCCACACCCCGTCCTCTGCCCACTCCCTGCCCCTCGGCATCCGTGGGGATAGCAGGTCCCCCTCATCTGCCCCGATGCCCTTCCTTAACTGCAGTCCTGGGAGGTGGCCGTCTGCACTCTGCTGCTTCTCACGGTGGACGGAGGAAGTGAGACGGCTGATGGAGCAGCCGCCCGAGGCTCGTGTGTCAGCAGAAAGAGGGGCCGGAGTTGGGTGACTTCGTCAGGCCCCTCCCTCGGGGGGACGTGAAGTGTCTGATAGCAGGTCCAGAGGCTGACCGGCCGGCTGCCAGGATTCAGTCTCTCGATTCACGGCCACGTGAGGGAGGGGTAGGGCGTGGAGCAGCTGGCAGGGGGTGAATGGTAACCCGTCTGTCTGTCCATCCTACAGAAATCCTCATTTGCCTGGAGACATCTTCTAAGGACTCTCGACCCGCTGGGCCTGGCCAGTCGAAACTGGAAAAGGACGTGCTTTTTGGGGAGCTAAAGCAGGTAAAGCACAGCAAAGGATCACATGTAAGCACCTGGGACAGCACATTCCAGACGCTCAGGCAGTGTTTCCTTTTGCTCTTGTTATGAATGGTGCCAGTGCAATAAAGAGCACAGGCAGTTTTTGAAGCACTTTGCTTTCTTTTACAGCTCTGGTTTCTGTTTGCGGGGCTCTGGCTCTCAGAGAGCTGTGTCAGCCCCTCTCCGGGTGGCCCCTCAGGCTCTCGTTTGTCTTTTAGCTGCGGATGAAGAAGAACGCCACTGGTCTGTGCCTGAACGGACGCTTGTCCCAGACGGAAGCTCCCCTGCCTCCCGGGACTGCTGGCGTCCCCAAGGGGCTGGGCTGTGGTCACCATTCCTCCAGTGAGGCCAGTGCTTTACATAAGCTGCTCGAGTCACTGGAGGATGTGGTGAGTATCCACCGTCTGGTCTCTTCTGGGCACTGGGGGCTCATTTCTGAGGTGGATTCACCAAAGATGCTCACACGGGAGCCTCAGTCTTACAAGACAGCTGCCCCTGGGCGCCCCCTCCTGGAGGCCACCTTAAGAGGCTGTGTGCCACCCACATGGCCAGAATCTGCTTGGTGTTAAACGAGTCTCCCCAGGGGCACCCAGAATGTTTCCCCAGGCCGCATCCACTTCCCTGTGTCCAGGTTCCCTGTCCTGCTCCATTTCTAGCTGCAGAGGCTACAGCAGGCGGAGGCATGTCCGGTGGGCAGTCGGCTTGGGGCTGAGCTGTAGCTTCCAGGGGCCAGAGGCCTGGGGGGGGCGTGGTCTCCCCACATGCCACCCAGCCCCCCAGTGTAGGGCTGCAGAGTGTCGAGAATTAGTTAGTGAAAAGGATCATGTCCAGTCCGGCCTGCACTCCTCTTACTGAGCACTAAACATATTGACGTTCACCTTTTCGTAGTTCATTTCATTTTCAGTATTAACTGTTTCATGTTTATCTTCTTCCTTATAAACCATGAAATAAGATCAGTGAAACGATCAGTGAAACTAGTGAACTATAAACTGTGCCAGTTAGGGCAGTGGTGTGTCAAGCCAGTCAGCGTTTTCTCAGCACGTTTGCTCTGTGCGTATTCGTGTGCAGAAGGGTGCGTGCTGCCCTGGCCGAGGAGGGTGGAAAAGCTTGGGTCCTCAGAGGGCGGCATCTGGGAATCCTCCCAGATGAGAGCATGAGCCCTTAAGGAGGCGGGTAACTTGAAGCAAGGAGAACTCGGGAGGGCGCCGGGCAGAGGGAAAGCGTGTGCAGGCGGGAAAACCATCGCCTGCTGGCACGGTTGCTTTTTTTTTTTTTTTTTTTTTGGGTACGCAGGCCTCTCACTGTTGTGGCCTCTCCCGTTTCGGAGCACAGGCTCCGGACACGCAGGCTCAGCAGCCATGGCTCATGGGCCCAGCCGCTCTGCGGCATGTGGGATCTTCCCGGACCGGGGCACGAACCCGCGTCCCCTGCATCGGCAGGCGGACTCTCAACCACTGCGCCACCAGGGAAGCCCTGGCACGGTTGCTTTTGTGCTCTTCGTTTGTAAGCTCTCTCCTGGCAGAAACCAAGTTTCTCTGTGTCTATGAAGCCTCTGTCATGGTGCAGTTATGTTTCTGTATTATGTGCAGGGTAGGTATCCTTCCTGCTGAGCCTTAGGTTATCACCAAGGGACGACCCCGGAGCTTGGCGGGTAGTTCTGCTGGTTCTAGCAGACCCCTCTCTCGTAGCTGCGGGACTCTGGGTACGCAGCTAGGGCACCAGGGGCAGGGGCGGTGTGGAGCTGGTCCTGTCTCCTCCAAGCCCCAGGGTGTCTCCATCCTTGTGGCCTGTCTGTGTGGTCCCCCAGCAGCCCGGGGATCCCAGGCGAGAGAGGGGTTGGGAGCCACTCCTCAGAAAGGGGCTGTGTCCCTCCTTCTGCACCGTGTTGGTTAAAAGGGGCCCCAGCCCAGCCTCGATGAGCCATGGGGTGTGGTTACAGGGTCGTGGTGCTGGGACGTCTGCCCCACTGGGGTCAGGTGGGGGACAGGCCAACACAGACGGGCTTGAAAAAACGTCAAACTCGAGCTTCCCTGGTGGCGCAGTGGTTAAGAATCCGCCTGCCAATGCAGGGGACGTGGGTTCGAGCCCTGGTCTGGGAGGATCCCACATGCCGCAGAGCAACTAAGCCCGTGAGCCACAACTACTGAGCCTGCGCGTCTGGAGCCTGTGCTCCACAGCGGGAGAGGCTGTGACAATGAGAGGCCCATGCGCCGTGATGAAGAGTGGCCCCCACTCGCCACAACTGGAGAAAGCCCTCGCACAGAAACAAAGACCCAACACAGCCAAAAATAAATAAGTTTATTAAAAAAAAAAAGTCAAACTCAGGAAAAAAATCCAAAAGGTAAATAAATACATAAACAAACAAACAAATAAAATCAAGCAGGGAAAGATGCAGGAGGAAAGTGCACGGTCTGGACATGCCACGACACAGGTGTCTGCTGTGGGTCGGCACCTGTTTGCAGAGGTGCAGCTGGCTGGTGGCGCAGAGCAGGTAGTTTCTGGCCGCTGACCACCTGGGGTCGCAGTCTGCAGGGTGACCCCCCCCCCCAACCCGTTCCTCTTCATCCTCATGGCAGCCGGACAAGGCTGAACACAGCATCCGCCCCAGTGAACTGTCTGTGGGAATCTGGCAACAATACGGAAAATATTAAGAAATCAAGGGTCTTTTTTTCTGGGGTGTTTCTCTCCGAATAACACCACAATCTTGCCAAAGAAAAACCTCCGACATTTGCTTGACTGAAGTCGTAACAGGGTGATAGAGTGATAACGTCCATGTGAATTTGCCTGGAAGGGAGGCCTTTGGAGTTAAGGAATAAGTCGATGACATTTTTCAGGAGCACTGCTGTTTCTCCAGGACACAGGGCTGGTTTCAGATACTGTTTGTCTCCACTCTCAGGCCAAAGGCAACCATGGGCCAGCCCAGTTTAACTGATACCTTGGACTAACAAATTTGCTTTGCCAAAAACATCTTCTTTTCTAATTATCTATCAAAGATGGATGAAGTTGGAAGGGTTCAAATTGGAGCTGTGAGTCAGAAATTGCTTAATATTTTGAAACCAAACCTCCTTTATTTCTGTAAATGAACTTCTCTAATACAGCTCCATAAAAATACTTCCGTTCATGTTGGAAGAAACCATGTTCCTCTATTACAGAGTTTTACGATTGTGGCGTCATCTTTCAGAAATCCCATTGGCAGCAGTGGTCACAAAGCATCGAAGCCCCATTCATTCCCTCTGTAGTTCCCTTCAGGATCCAGATTAAAACTACTCCCTGTGACTATCGAGGCACAAAGCCACAGACTCCCTCGTGGTCTCTGTATTGTTTCTTTTTTTTTTTAATTTTAAAAAAACACAAAACACTCAGCAATACCACATGGCCTGTCAGAGGAATATAGCCCTGTCCCTGCCCTCAGGACCTGAGCGGTCTGTCTGATGACACGCAGTGGGAAGACACCCTCTCCCAGGGCAGCAGACGCAGAAACCCCAGGCAAGCCGGGAGCAACAGGGCCTGGAGTCGGCAGGACTGGGGGGACCCACGCTGATGCCGTTGGAAGGCAGGTGGTGGACCCCAGAGATGCTCCCCTGTGAATCCCCAGAACCTGTTAATGTATCATGTCGCCTGGCAGGAAGGCCGTGAGGTTGCAGATGGAATGATGGGTGCCCGTCTGCCAACTTGAGATGAGACTATCCTGGATCATCCAATGACCTGAGGAAACTATGAGGGTCCTGAGAGTCAGGGTGATGCATTGTGAGAAAAACTCAACCAGCCATTACGGGTTCTGAGGATGGGAAGGGGCCACCAGCCACTGAAAGCAGCTGCCTCTAGAAACTGGAAGAGGCAAGAGAACGATGCCTGCCTGGGAGCCTCCAGAAGGGACACAGCCATGCAGACCCCTTGATTCCTTCCTGGGCTGTCGTTTGTTACAGCAGCCATAGAAGACACACCTGCGATACATGATGTCCACGGAGCTCTGTGGACACTCCGTGGTATGTCCTGATCATTTTCCTTTAATTCTAATCTCAAAATAGCTACCCTTCTAAGATAAAAGTTTTACATAGTTTGACTCAAACTATACCCTAAAAATAACGTGAAGACAGGTCACAAAGTGCAGAGAAAACTGGAGTAAAAAAATCAGCCGACTGGGGTTTCACATCCCACCTACAAAAGCACCTGTGAGAAACGCCAGGGTCACAGTTCCAAGCCCAACAGGAAGTAGATGGTTAATAAAATTACATCAGGTGTGAGACAGAGACATCAAACTCCTTATACAGCAGCCAAGGCTACGACCTGCCCGGCAGGAGGGTCTTTCCAAACCCCAGGCCAGCCCAGGAGTCAGCAGTGCATTGGGGGAGGGGAGCCAACTTCTAACCCCAGACCAAGAGCCCTGGCCCGGAGCCCAGAGGTGGAAAGCCTCAGTCTGCACCCAGAAGTGCTGTCGGGGAAGCACCAGGTCGTGGGAATCCTGAGACGTGACCAAAATCCACGCCCTGAGTGCAGACCCCGAGTCCAGAGGGAGGGCCTGGGTCTCCCCAAACATTAAGGACCTCAACCCTGACCCAGGGCGTCCCCCTGAGGTGGGAAGGGGGTCTCGCGGGGCGGTCTGTGCAGGGAAGGGAGACAGGTGTGTCATGCTTGCGTCCTGCCCCACACGAAGCAGAAATGTCCACGGATGCGCCAGGTGACTAAAGGGACGTCAGCTAAAGGCCTCCGAACCTCGGGAGCTGCAGCGAGCAGGGTCTACGGGGTCAGCTGGTCTGACCCCGACGCCCTGATTTCACAGTTTGGAGAGTGAGGCTCAAATCTGGTGACCCCAGCTGCCCCAAGGACCTCCACCTCTGCTCCCCAAGCGTCTCTTTGCCTGGAAAGCAGTCCTCTCGTGCCCCCGCCCCATCTGGCCCCCGACTGGCCTCCAGAACCTCCCAGCCTCAGGGCCTGGCTTCTCCCCCGCTGCTGCTGAGAGCAGTAAGGTGCCCTGTTACTTCCAAACTGCCTTTGAGGCAGGGATAACATGGAAAACAGCGGAATAATTCAGGATTCGTTCTGCGTGAAGGTCATCAAAACCGAATAGGGATTTCAGGTCAGCCTGAACCTTCTGTGGGTCCCACACCAGCTCCTTCAAGGACAGGCTGTATCCTGACTCTGCAAGACAACCAATGATTTATACTGTCAGCTGCTATAACACTGTCACACGGGCTTCCCTGGTGGCGCAGCGGTTAAGAATCTGCCTGCCAATGCAGGGGACACGGGTTCGATCCCTGGCCCGGGAAGATTCCCACACGCTGCGGAGCAATGAAGCCCGGGCACCACAACTACTGAGCCTGCACTCTAGAGCCCATGCTCTGCAACAAGAGAAGCCACAACAATGAGAAGCCTGCGCACCACTCACTGCAGCTAGAGAAAGCCCGCACACAGAACAAAGACCCAACACAGCCAAAAATAAAAACAAATAAATAATAATAAAAAAAAAACACTGTCACAGGTCAAAAGTCATTCGAAAAATGATGTCTTCACTTCGAATGGAAAGGCAAATGCAGACCAAAGGTCATTTGGACTGTCGAACAGGAAAAGCAAACAAACAGAAGCTGGTATGGGATGCTATAGTGCGGTGACATGACACATGCTTCCAGACATAAATGACTGCAAATTTCTAGAGGGTAATTCGATAACGTAGCTCAAGAAACATATGAAATTCACATTATTGGACCCAGTAATTTTATTTTAAAAATATCTATCTCAAGAAACCTAATAAGGTACCTGAGGGAAAAGTCATGTACCACAATGTTATTGCATTGGTTTTGTACTGATTAAATATTGAAAACCAGTTCAGTGTCTAGCACTGGGAAGAAAGGATACATTACGGTATATTTATAGCATAACATATTCTGTGGAGTCTTTAAAAACATATTTATAAAAACTATTTTAAACCAAAGGAAAAGTTTCCCCTAACAGAGTAAATCAAGATATAAACTCATAAAGCTTCCCAAGCAACCCAGCAATGCCATGCAGAAGTGACACCCCCAGAATACACATCCGAGATATCCAAGGTCAGATGACCTCAGGTGAGTGTGGCCTGGCACCTGCGAACCTAAAAGCACATCAATTCCAAGGTGGTCCTTCATCTGAACACCCAGCTCAAGGTGTTCAGATCACGACCCGACAGCCATCAGCTGAGCGCTACATGCCAGCACTGCAAACCCACCTGCTGCTGCGTGACCCCACGTGCCCTGAAATTAAGGCTGAGGGCGCAACAGAAAAGGCCCAGTCACGGGGAACTCCGGGGAGGTGGTGAAGTGGGGGACCCGGGAATCCCGGCTGGGGAACAGACCTTCAGTTTCAGAGGACTGAGTTCTGAAGGCCTCCTGCACAGCACTGTGATTACAGGTGGTAACACCCCACTGTACACTTGAGATTGACTCAGAGATCATGATCGCCCGAGAAGGGCAACCGTGTGAAGTGATGGATGTTTTAATTAAGTTGGTTTTGGTAATCATTTCACAACGTATGCATATATCAAGTCATCACATTGTACACTTTAAATATATATAATTTTATTTGTCAGCAAAATACAATAAAATGAGTATTTAATGAAAAAAAGAAAGAAAGGGTACCTGAGTCAAGAATAGAGCTAAACAATCCCACCTTCCCCTGTGGAAAGGCTGTCTATTCAGTTGGGGGCTTTCTTAATCGACCTCACCCGCCCCCTCTCACTGGCCTTATTGATTTTCAAATATTTCTTCCTAATAGGAATTCAGTAATACGAGTTCAGAAGGGAGGAAAGGTGAAAATCAAAGAACCAATGACAGGTCTATGCTTAGAGGACATCAAGTCCAATAATTTTAAAATCAGCGATTTTTTAAATTATAAATAACATTTTTATTTGCAGCGACTGCAGAATTTTGACAGTGGTAGAAAGTCAAATCTCTCTGATTCCCAAATTTTCAGTCTAGGTCTCTCTTTTACGAACAAAACAACCAATTCTTTCTTGCAGTTGATATTTTAATTAAATCATTTCTCTGAACAGCATTTTAGCTCTGTGGTGGCTGCCGATGAATTTAACCAGTGCAACAGTGAAATGTCACAATAACAGCTGTTAAGACACCCACACCCCTGGCCGCTGCTCCGTTCTCCTGCAGAAATACCAGCGTCGAAATGGCCACATCCAGCACCATTGCAGAGACCCTGGAAAAGGTGTGGCTGACTGGCAGCCAGTCTAAATGTTCCAGAGCTGAGAAGGAACTAGAAGCAAAGCAGAACTAGAACACCATCAGCAAAACAGGTGGCATCCCCTGACCCACCCCGCCCTGCGCAGGGACTCACACGTCCGCACTCCCCACTCCCGGGGCTGTCAGTGCCACCCTGAGTCCCTGGACCAGGAGCCAGACACGTGCTCTCCTGCGTTCACCCGGGCAGCTGACGGGCGCAAAGTGCCGTCCCCTCAGAGAAGCCTGTGCGCAGCAGCCTGCCCGCTCCAAGTTCCCACTCTCAGCCTGACACTGGGGTTGGGGTGGGACACCTGCTGGAACGCCCCTCCCCCTCCCCCCACTGTCCTCCCCCCGCACCCCCCCATCTGGCTGTGTCAAGGCTTCAGTCACCGGTTTTCACACTGCTTCACAGAACAAGGGAGTCCACATGTCTACAGTGTTAATTCTGTTTCCTAAGAATAAATATCTTATAACTAATTACAATGAAACTTGTAAATTAGAAAATCCATTCAATCCAAGTGGGAACAGGTCTAGTTCTTTGCAACACCAGTAATGCCTAAGTTGTGCTTCAAAGAGGCTATTTTCCGGCACTTCTCACTGAGGAAGCACGTCCCCGTGTAGGGAGGAGTCTCCCTAGATAACAGAATGCATCTGGAACCTGGTTCCACGTGCAAATACTTAATCTCTATGAACGTGGACTTTCTTGATACTTGTGCCACCAAAGTAAAGTGTAGAAATAAAATTAATGCTGGAGCTTATGTGGTTCAACAGCTACCACCAATACCTTCTAATTTCAAAGGTTGTCTTGCTCTGATGGGGGCCCTCGGGCTCTCATGTCTACTGCTGACCGTCCAGGGCTCGGGGCAAGAGACCAAGGGAAGCACACCAACCACGTTCAGATATTCACGTTATAAATCAAACCAACAAATGTCAAATATGCCCCACTGTCCCATGTTGGCAAGCACACCTTCATAACAAATTGGGAAGCCCTGTTCAACTTCAGAATGTAACGCACCAGGGGTGGGAGTCCTGGTCCCAAAGCCACCCCTCCCCAGCCTGGCCCCCAGCTCTGACTGCACCTCAAAGGCCTCGTGTACACGTGTGGATGCTCGGCCTGCACATCCGAGCACCATCTACACTCCTGCCAGTAGCTGCCACTGGACACCCCAGGCCTTGGGTACACACTCCAGTGGTGACAGCTGCCCTCGGTGGGCTCTGGCCCCGGGGGCAGGGAGCTCCAGGGTGGGGGGCTCTGTGGACACACGCCCTTGCCTCATGGGTTTCCTGAGCCATGGCTGCTTCAGAGGCCAGAGTAGGGTCCCCTTTGGAGCAAGGACCCCTCTCGCCCTGGCCTGGGGTGGTCTTGGCCACTCCCACTAATGGCGGATAAGACAAGTAACAGTTAAAAATCTGAAAAGAATATCAACTTTTACTAATAAAACACCATATTCATACAACAGGTTTACACAAAAGAGTTCAATTGGAGAGCAAAAAGACCATGTTATTGAAATGTGGGAAACCCACCATGGGAAGGGGTCATCTCAAAGGTCACCCCTGGGTAACGTGGGGCCAGGCCCATCGAAGGAGACCAACGTGCTGCTCACTGAACCGCAGAAGAAAGAACTGAGTTAGCAATTCTGGGTAATATTGGGGCCACTGCAGCAGCTTTTACTAAGAAACTAAAGTATCATGTTCATGTCACATCTCCAATAATGAAAAACTTAGAAACACCAAAGGCCAGTTATAAGTTATCAAGAAAATTACGGTCTATGATACCTTATCAAAATGGAAAGTTATACTAATAATGATCATCTGAAGACTATCAGGACATAGGAAACATTAATGATATAATGTTAATTTTTTTTAAATCAGGGAGCACGTGCTCCGAACATCACTGCACTTATGTAAAATATTTATACAGGGAGATGAGGGGCAGGCGTGGAGATACAAGACTCCAGCCATTTTCAGGTGACATCGTTCTGCATGGTTTTCTTGTATCAATCACTCAGAGAAATAGTTTCCCATTAAAAAGTGAGGAGGAAAAACCAAATCATCTGTAATTAGTTATATTTCTCGTTTTCACTTACCTCAGAGCCCAGTTGAGTAGGTGTCCTCCCCCGAGGAGGCTGTCTTCAACACGGACATTGTTTGCATAGAGTCTCGGCAGTAAAAGTAGAAAATCCCAGACTGGGGGGCTGCCAGTGAAGACTCTCCAGCTTAGCGATCATCTCCTCAGTCTTACTGAGATCCATCTGATAGTGCAAAACACCAAGTAGGTGATGGGGGGGTAGGGCTGCAAAAGTTGTAAGAACGCAGAACCCCTGGGGTCCAGAGTCATGCCTAGTAGGTCACGATTTTGAACAGACCCGATTTTAAAATTACTCTGTTAGGTTGGTTTTTCAAATTTTGTGGAAGTTTGGACAGCAGGAGAGATGTAGAGGTCTGTTTTTGTAACAAGCTGAACGAATTTCTAAGATTTTGAGACAGATTTTGTAAATAAATAATAAGCTGTTCATATCTGGACAAAACTGGAATAGCTACTGTTATTTGGGGGTTTTCTGTTATTGCAGCTGAACACAGTCATGACTGATATAACTGAGTACTTCCGTCTACAAAAAAATCCCTCCTCCATCCCCACCATGACATCAAAAATATGTTCAGACATTGTCAAATGCCCCTGGGAAAGCAAAACATCCCCCCATCAATAACTAGTGCCTTAACTGAAGGCTGTGTGCCTAACGCTACTCAAAGGTTTGCACCAAACACAGGAATCTCCAACCTAATGAGATCAGGTGGACCACACGCCTGTCTTCTAAAGCCACTCTTTCTGGGTCACCCACCACCATCTGGTCTCAATGTCCACCTTCTGCTTTTCTGAAGCCAGAGCCTTACTTGAGAAAAGTAAAACTCGTCTTTCATCATTCACTCATCTCTTGAGTGATTCTGGCTGTCTCAAATACAGCTTCTACATAGTGTTACTAACAGTCAAAGCATTAAAAAGGCATGTTTGAAAAATAAATTAAAATCAATGTTTTGAACTTAACCATTGTGGATGAAAAACGTTGCCTGTCATATCAGTAAACAAGGGGTGTTGCATGGAGAAAAGCAGGACACTGACCACAGGTAGCTGAGGCGCATATCCAAGGAATGATTTCAGTGAGCCCAGACTCTTGCATCTTCCCATACATAGAAAAGTGCTGAGTTCGTTCACTTAAGATGCTTGTTTTTTCTTTAATTTACAGTACTCTTGATGCTCCGACTACCTGGTCTTTGTTGCAAAAACTCCTATACATCCTGGCTCCCCCCGCCAACCTCTTTGGAGGAGTCCCTCAGGGTGATTGGAGATTCTGTGTTCCAGGCTTAAGTCCTCAGAAAATCCGACAAATAAAACATAATTCTCAACTTTTAGGTCATGCATTTTTTTTTCAGTTGACACCACTCTGTCTCTGAAGATTAAGTTTCAAACTTTTGTTAAAATACTTACTGTTAAAAAACTGAAACCATAAGAAGAATCTACAATAAAGATGTCAGAGGTATTAGCTCAGTCGGCAAGCAGAAAGCATGTGCCGAGCAGCTATTCCAGTTCCAAAATCAAATGGATGATCACAGAGTCCTGATTACACAAAACTGAAGAATAAATCTGAAGGAAACAGTCACTTTCGACTTCCAAAACACATTGATATTAAGTAAATTCCTGGAAAATGATTTAACTAGTAAACTAAATTTCAACAATTTGCCAAAAAGTATTTATTATCTTATCAATCTCTAATCCACAGGCATTGTGAGCATTCTGGACAGGATAGAGAGGGTGAAAGGAAAATAAAGAAAAAACAAAGAAAGAAAAAAAGTTGAAGAGGGAGAGAAAAGTGAAAATATAATTTTTCAGATTATATTTGGAATCCGGTTGTGATAAAATAAGAAATGTATGTTGGTCTCTGCTCTCAGTTCCTAACACAGGCTCCTAAATTCTCACCATTTCCTGAGGGATGGGTGAGCCAGGAGCATCTCTTTTTATACTAGTCCTTGTTCCCTACAAGGAGAGCTTCTAAGGCTCTTGCAGTCTACCGAGTGACAAGAGTGCCTCTGAACGCTAATGACATGTCTGGGGCTGGGGCCCCCAGATGGCTTCAGTTCTGAGACAGGCTGGAACCTGGGACCTTTTCTGCAGTGCTTGCAACTGCACCAACGTCTTCCTGGAGCAACAGATACAAAGAAACTATAAGGGACTAAAAATAACTGCACGCCTGCACAGTTGGGGCAAATATGAACAAGATACAGAAAGACCAAAACCCAGCTGCTGCTTCTGAGGTGTCAGGAGCAAAAGCAGGGCCCCACCAGGGGGGCGGGCAGACCACCCAAGCTGCCCCGCTGGCCCGACCCCAGCACCTGGTCCCACCCTCAACACACTTAAGGGACCAGCTCACCACTCCCTCCCCCGCCAACGGGAGCAAGGTCGTCGGTTACCTGCTCTCGCTCCCCCTGGTGGAGCCGGAGACCCAGTAAAGCCTTGCCTGGGTTCCTCACCTGGCCCCTCGTCCATTCCTGTTGACTGAAGAGTCCAAGAGCCCACGTCAGTAACAATTAGACTTGGAACTTTCATCTCCCACCCCGCAACCCCAACCTCCAGGGAGTGGAAAAGGGCTGGAGATGCAGTGTACCACCAATGATCTAACCAGTCACGCCTGCCTAATGGAACCTCCACAAAAACACGAAATGATGGCTTCAGAGAGCCTCTAGCTGGTGACCACATCCACACACTAAGTCCAGAGGGACAGACACCCCGAGCCCCGGGACCCTCCAGACCCTGCCCTGTAACTTGCTCATCACGCTGTTCATCTGTAGCCTTTATGATAAACTGCTAATAGCAAGTAAAGTGTTTCCCTGAGTTCTGTGAACCATTCTAGCAAATCACAGGACCTGAGGAAGGGTTGTGAGAACCCTCAATTTACAGCCAAGCGGGACTGAAGTGTGGAGACCCCGGGCACCCACTCCTTGCTATTGGACTCTGCAGTGAAAGCAGCCTTGCGGGGCTGAGGCCTCACCTACGGGGTCTGTTAGAACCGGATTAAGTCACAGCACACCCAGTTGGGGTCCACGAGAACTGGGAAGTCGCTTGGTTTGGAGAACCCAGACATTTGGTGTCAGAAGTGCTGTGAACAGAGTAGGTTTTCTTTTACACATAAACCACGGGAAACGGCTCAGACAGCAGCAAACCGAAAACCAAGTGGGATCTTCACCTCAAAACATTAGTTCCCCCTCTAACAGAACGTTGGAGACCTCACTGGAAAAAAATTTTGTGAAGGTAGAATGACCCTATGACAGCACCTCATATAAGAAACCCATCCTTGGGTGTTTAAGCTACTCTGGTTTTTTGTTGTTGCATTTGGGTCCATTGTGGACAAAGCGGTCCACCCTGGACAAAGGCGCTGCTTCCTCTCGTAGGAATAACACGTAATGTTTATTATCTCCTCTGAAGAGCTCTTTCTGTATTTTCTGCCAAACGCTTCATTTCATTTTCCTGTGTATATTCCATGGGGGGGGAAGTGTATATATATGTATAAAAATTCGAGCTGGGTCCTTAGGGTTGCCAATCTAGCAAATGATAACATAAGATGCCCGTTTAAATTTTTACTTTAAGTATGTAAAGTATGCAGTTATTTACCTGAAATTAACATTTAACTGAATGTCCTGTATTTTTCTGGGTGCTGTAGATAGGGTAGTGTTAAAAAAAAAAAAAAAAGGAAAGGGCAGGATCACTGTGCCCCATTTATTGATGAAGTCTGTAGGTATTAACCTGGCTGTGTGAAGACAGGCAGTGAGCTGCCCCTCTGAGGGCCTGGCTTCTCCACTTGTCAACCAAGCTCGTCAAAACCTATAGCCACTGAACTTTCTTTACTGGGGATTTACAAAGAAGAGTTGGCCTAGACTGTGGACATGCTTCATCGTGAACAGAAATAATGCAGCCCAATAATCCAGAAGGTCTGCTATCACAGCAAGCTAATCATGAGGCCAGAATCGCAGTGTCACCAACAAAGAAAGACCAACCAGGTCTACAGGGAGGAGGAAAGGAGTCAGAAGTGTGTGTGTGTCTGTGTGCATGTCTGTCTGTGTTTCTGTCTGTGTGTGTGTTTGTATCTGTGTCTGTGTGTGTATGTCTGTCTGTGTCTGTGTGTATCTGTGTGTCTGTGTGTGTGTGTGTGTGTGTGTGTGTGTGTGTATTTGTGTGTGTGATACCTGGGGACAGATTTTAAACACAGAGGAAGAGGGAGCGAGAAAGGACGTTAGCAACAGAAGAAAGAGAAGGAGAAGGACCAATGGCGGGAGGGGCCCTGGACCCTCAGAGACGAGGGGGAAGGGCTGCAGCCCCTCTGAGGGTTGTGCCCCAGGGCCGTGAGCGAGGGAGCGGAAATGCAGCCCAGGCTCCCAGCCCGCCCCAGGTGCCGGGCCTCATCCCTGGAGGGGGGTGGCTTTTTCTAAGACTCACAGCGATGGCCGCTGGAGGGGGTATGAAGCATGAACAGGATTTTACAGACATCCTGGGTTGTCACGGGGCCCCACCTAAGCCTGTGACCAGGGACGGGGTGGAGAGTTTCAGAGATTTACTTGCCTGGAGTCTTGGATTTTTCTACCCAAAGTTTTTGTAAGTTTCTCGCCTTGTCCATCATTTCATAAACTTCCTGGGCGAGGTCCTATACCTCTTTTAAGAAGGCCAGGTTGTCAGCCTTCTTGTGAGAAGGCTGCTGCAGTTAGGAGCCTAGAAGAACCTTAAATAAATGGAGTAAATACCCGAGTAGAACTCTTCTACAGGCACGAGTTTCCTCAGCAGTTTAAGGAGCTTTACACCCAAGGCCAAAGTGTTCTCAGCTAACCCTGTGCCCGTGTACAATTCCACCAACGCCCCAACGGCCCACTTTACTGGATCTTCATCCAGAATGGAATTTGTCATTTTAAAAAACTGTGGCCAATTTAAAATTAGAAAGTTGTCCTCAATCGCCTTATCATCTGTGAGGCTCAACCATTTTATATGTTTACTAGTTACTTCATCTTTTTTCACTTATTCAACACATATTATACCACTTCCCCTGAGCAAGGTGCTGGGAGCCAGCCCAGCAGTGAACAGGGGCCCCGCACGCAGAGGGGATGGGATGAGCCCCCAGTGACGCCTGGTCATTACAAATGCCATTGGGTGGACGCCCCAAGGACAGTCAAACGCAGTGATAGGGAGTGAGCAGGAAAGTCTGCAGTGGAGGGAGGGTGGGTCGCCCCCCGCCACGGCACAGGGAAGACAGGGTGTCAGGCAGAGGGACCCTTGGGGGACGTCCAGGGAGGGTCGGAGGGCAGCTCCCTGTGAGGGGTCAGCTGGGGGGCAGAAGTGGGGGCATTGCCAAGACCCAAGTCCGCGGTCACCTGGACACCAAGGACAGAAGTCAGGCTCTGTCACACAGGCTGGCAAGCAGGAGGGGGTGCCACCCAAACTGGCTGGTCAAGGCCGTGACCCGGTTTTCTGCTGGGATGTTCCCTGTCTTCTCACGCTTGAAACGCAGCTTCCCTTTATTGAATTTGTAAGAAACATCCTCTCCAGGTTTTGTTTTGTTTTTTTGCCTATAATTTTATTTTAGCTTTGAGAAATTTGACTACTAGAAGACACTAGTAAATGTGAAATGTGTAAGCATGTGAAGATACAGACCCTCAGCCTCACCTCCCACCTGCTGCCTGGAGCCTGTCCAGGACCCTGCATTTTAACCCACACTTGCTAGTGGTTCTCATACAGACGGTCCTGCGCTCACCCCATGGTGTGGGGAAAGGCACGGTGTTAGAAAGGAAATGACAGGCTCTGGATGGAGTCTCCTGTGCTAACACCAAGACTTAATACCTAACCTAACTGCAGTTATAGCTTTCCCCAGGAATATAACCCTGGTTGGTGTGAAATGTTCTGATCAGCACCAAAGAGGTAATCCCTTCCACCCTCCAAAGAAGGATAATTTGCCACATAGGCCCCTTCTGTCCCCGACACAGGTGGGTGACCTAAGCCTGGAATAATCTTCTTTGTTTGTGGCTTCCTTGTCTTGCCTTTAAAAGCCTCTCCCTTTCTGTAGCCCTTTGAAGCCCCTCTACCTACTAGATGGGAAGCTGCCCGATTCATGAATCATTCAATAAAGCCAACTCGACCTTTAAAATATACTCGGGTGAATTTTTATTTTAAAAATATTATGTAATTCTAATGGAAAAATGATGATTAAATTGCTATGTTTTTTCTTAACTTTACACATATCGTGTATGCGGGGAAAAGATTTCTTTTCTAGTAAACAAGAGAAAACGTTCTCACGACCTTGAAAGTCAGCACCATCTACCATGTCTACGTCTGATCTCAAATTCAGTGGGGACTTACCTTAATCAGAAAGAAAACACTGATTTAAAATAAAATAGGGAATCATTTCCCAAGTTGCTGAAAGCCTGTTAAAGAAAGCCAGTGTCCAGTCACATTTAGCATATCCGAGAGGAAAAAAAGGGGGAAACTTTTCTTGATTAAAAGATTATAGAACACATGAGATTTTTTTTAACTCCCAAACCCTTTATTTTACAAATTCCCGAACACAGTGACTGAAGGAAGAGTTGTCAACAGGTAAACCCACCGCAGAAGAAAAGCAAAGCTGCATCTTCCCCAAGCCCACCAGAGACTGTCACCCCATAAGGAAGTAAAGGAGGGTCAACAAGGGTTTAGTGACGAATAAAATAAATTCAGTGCCTCTCAGGTCAGTCCACCCAGAGATAGAGAGATGAGGCCCAGAGAATCAAAATGAATTTGCCAAAAACAAGGGGATGGATAGGGTAGAGCCAGGGCCAGGTCCTGATAGCCCAGCGCTGGTTACACTTGATGGAAATCTCACTGTTTCAAGTGTGGTCTTCACCGTGAGTGACTCAGAATTCCAGAAACACAAGGAATCAGTTATTACTTCTGTTGTGGCCTCGGATTAAAGGATAAAAGTGACCCCTGGAGGCTGTGGACAACACCCTCCTGCCTCACCCACACCTGGTCGCCCCCTGGGAACCACAGAATCACCAGATCATAGAGATTGATGTAATTCAAGGGGAGTTTCCCTGTGATAATGACCTGGTTTTATGTGATTTTTCTCATTATTATTCCAAAATTACCTCAATTTGTCCTTAAGACCAGTTATGAACTATTACTAACATGAGAAATGTTTATAGCAGAAAACAATACATAGAAAATCCTGGATTAAATGTGTGTGTGTGTGTGTGTGTGTGTGTGTGTGAGAGAGAGAGAGAGAGAGAGAGAGAGAGAGAGAATGAATTCTGCAGCCCCAGGGAAATCCCAGTGCTGTAATAGGATTTGGGAGGAGACCAGTTTCCTCCTTCCTGAGTCCCTTTCTGTGGTCTTTTTATCAGGTGACATAAAAAGACCACAGTGCTCCCTGCCTGGTATGGGAAGAGCTGTGAATGGAAGAGGGGGACAAAGAAGATCTGATGCAGGAAGACAAGAAAAGGTCTCCTACTGGTCTGGTGGCCCTCAGACCAGTAGGAGACCACCCTCTCAAAGGGCCAGGAACCATCCAGCAGCCCCTGTGTGATTTCAGTGAAGGACTTGAGGACAGCAGAGGTGGGAGGGGTTGCTCAGGGCCCTCCCTCAGTCTGCAGATGAGGAAACTGAGGCCCATTGAGGGTCCCCCAGAGCCAAAATGTTTCTCAAGCAATGTCTCCCTTGGAAAGTCATCTTTAAAACGGGATCATAACATGAGCCACCTAATAGGGTTGTCGGAGGTCAGCAGAGGGAATCTGTGTAAATTAGCACAGAGTCCAGATCCCAGCTCTCTTTAAAGAAGAATAAAGGGCAGTAATAATATACCTGATTCTGGGACAGACACATTTTCAGCAAAGGAGCTGCAGGAATAAGAAAGCAAGCTAAAGGAATATGATTATTGTTTCTATGATAAGCTGTGCTAATTTTTCTTATTGGTTTACAAATGAGACAAGTTCTTACAGAGTTAGAATTCTTTCTTAAGACAACCAGATCCAAATGTAAAAATAATTCTCCTAAGAATGCTGTCTTGGGTGCCCCACAGCTGCCTTGTGGCCAGTCAGGCCGGCCAGACCCTACCTTCACTGCCCACCTGTAACTCAGGGCAGGTGCGCGCAAGGATGTAAAGGTTTTTGAAACCTGTAACAGGTCTAGGGTTTAAAAGAGAGGCAAGGTTTGAGAAACTCACATCTGAGGAAAGAAGAAAGCAAGTAAGAAGTCTTTGGGACTTTCTTTAGAACTATTTTTTTAAAAATCCAAACTCCAGACCAGATACTCTGTCTACACATGCTTAATGGGACTTCAGAGTCTCTGTCCCCAGCACCCTCTTGGTTTCCTCTGCTCAATTCTCACCAGGGATTCCCAAGCCAGTCCCCAACATGAAGAGCTCCTGTGTTTGTTTTCAGGGTAGGCTAGAGAAATAAGACCTGCAGTCTACTTACCAGTATTGTGCCAATGTCCATTGCCTGTTTTTGTTGTTGTTGTTTTTAACATTTTATTTATTTATTTGGTTGTGCTGGGCCTTAGTTGTGGCTCACGGGCTCCTTAGTTGCGGCATGCAAACTCTTAGTTGCGGCATGCATGTGGGATCTACTTCCCTGACCAGGGGTCAAACACGGGCCCCCTGCATTGGAAGCACAGAGTCTTAACCACTGGACCACCAGGGAAGCCCCCATTGCCTGTTTTGATATTGTCCTATCGTTATATAAGATCTCACTATTTGAAGAAGCTGAACTTGATGTACTATTTAACAACTTCCTTTGCATCTATAATTATTTTAAAATGAAAGTTAAAACATGAGCAAAGTCAAATAATAAATGACAAACTCCAGAAAGAATATTTACAACTCATGTCACAGATAAAGGGTTTAACTCCCTAATATGTAAAGAGTCTCTAGAAATCAAGAAGAAAAATAATAAACAAGAGAAAAATTGACAAAGGACATGAAAAATATTTCACAGGAAAGTAAGTATAAATTGTACACAGAGATATGAAAATAGGTTCAACATCCCCCATAATGAGAAAAATGCAATTAAAACTGCACTGAGATATCATTTCTCATCAAGAAATTAATGAGAAATCAGATTGGCAGCAATCTAAAACTTTGACAAGACCCTCTATTTGCCTTACTAGAGAAAGAGATAGCCCCATATTTTGGAAGATAGAGTGCAATATATTACAATCCCCATATAGGAGCATTTGGAAAAGGCCATTAAGATAAAAAAATGTATCTACCTCTTGACCTGCAGTTCTGCTTCTAGGAATGACTCCTACAGATACATGTACACTAGTATGAAACTGCATAAACCATTAGAAAAATACAACAAAAGGTACAGTTCATAAGTCAATAGTAGAGAAGCATTAAAAAATAAGAAATATTCAATTTACATAAACAAAGGCAACAAAGAGGACAATAGGAGTACAAAAGAGACGGCGAAAGTAGAAAACAAGTGCAAAATGTAAATCCAATATATTAAAAATAACTGGTCTAAACACTAAAAGGCAAAGACTGTCAGACTGAATAATAAAGAACCAACTATATGATGTTTATATATTAAGTATAAAGAAACGGATAGCCAAAAAGTAAAAAAAGATGGAAAAAGATATATCATATAACACTAATGAAAAGGAAGCTACAGTACTTATGTAACTATCAACAAAGTAGACTTCAGAGAAATACAACCAGGG